ATGCTGCTTACCCTTCATATTCCTCCAATATTTTCTTCTCAAATGAAAAAAAGAAAGATCTTAGTAATGAGTATATTTTGGTAATCATAATAATATTTAAAGTTAATGTCTCTATATAAATTATTAATATCCAACCTCTTAATGTTCTATGCATTTTTTTCAAAGAAAAACAAAAAAAATACTCATATATCTTCCTAATCATGTTTCAATCATATTTCCCTCAAACTATTTTTAGAAAAATTATTAAGTACTGCTATGTTCACCCTTATATAAATCAAATTATAAAAGCAATATTTAAAGAAAACAGAATTTGCAAAATCAATCATTCTGGTTAGAAAATGCCAGAATTAAGATTACCCTAGCAGCACTCATTTTGCAATCATCTACAATATTTCTGGAGCCAGGAACTTAACCCAGACATCCAAGATTCAGCCTGATGCTTTAGCCTCATTCACAATCCATCACTTGATGATACATAGCCTTTTGCTACTTGACCTAAAAGAAGAATTCATGGCCAACTATCTGGTTGCAGCTACAGCAATAAATACAACTCACTGTGATTTATACATTCATTTACTAACAGTTTGGAAAACTGGCTCCTGAATGCTCTTCCAGGCTAAAGAAGGAGATGGTTACAGACGCCCAAGAAGACATCTTTATTCTGTAACATGAGGATGTGACTAGAAGTTAAATGTGGAGAAGTGTCTATATTCTTGAGTCCAGCAGAACAAAACCTAGTGCTGGTATTCACTCACAATAGCAGAACTTCAGAATTTTGCAAAATAAGAACCAAAGATTGAATGGTTACCTTGTAGTCCCAAATTTAAAATCACACTGGAATTATTCTCATTGCTTTTAGATAAACTAGCCAAACATCAGAAATTTTTGTCTTTACTTCTGCAAACAATGCTTTTATTTCCTGTGGCATAATGTTTTTTCTAAAGTCTAAAACTAATTATATTGGCTTGACTTCTGATTATGATGTCGGATTATTTGCTCAGATTTGAAGTCTGCAACATTTCCACATTTATAGAATCTCAGTGGAAAAGCTGTGACTTCAACATACTGAACCTTCTCACTTCCCAGACAACACTTCCTATTCTGAGGGAGCCATACGCTTCCTGCCTTACCAAGCTGACAAGAATGCACTGCCTAGACAGCATCCCAACAGCAAACACCCAGAGACTGCTTTTCACTGCAAGGTTAACCACAGTTAAAACCTGGGAACTGCGAATCAGCTGTGCTTCATGCAGGCACAATTCTTTCAACGTGAGCTGGCTAACCTATCCACTGGGAACAAGGCTCAAGGATTACTCACTGCTAATGAAATTCCTCTATGAACTGCATGATAATAGCCACCCTCAGCATTTCCCCGCCACCCCATGTGTCAGAAGATTCCACTAGGAAATGAATTTTGAAGCTTTCTAAAGCAGTGGATGTGATCTCTCATGTGTTTGCATTCTTGTCTATTCACAGCTACATGTAGAACAACGGAGTCAAGGTTCCCAAATAGTGCTTTGCTTTCAATCTCTCCTTTTCAAATTGTGATAAGTTGTGGGGAATAACTCAAAGACAGAAGATTTTCCTACATACCCTATGTAGGAGATACTGTTTGGTATAAATAAATTTTCATCAGAAAAGGAAAATTGTTTTACTGAATTTCACAGTTAAATATCACTTACAAATTGATAAACCATAGAACAATATTTTATAAATAATAAACAATATAATTTTGAAAAGGTTTTAGTTTCTGACAAGTTCTTCTTCAATCCCCTTTTTTGGAGACAATTTTGTTGGATGTTTTGAGGCACACAGACCCTCAAAAATCTGATGCATAGGATAAAACATGCTTGCCAATATCCACTAAGCCAATGTAGAAAGGAGAGCACATGCCATTTAATCTTCTGTAAAGTATAATGATCACCTGAAGAATGACCCTCAAGTCCCTCAGAAAAAGAACTCTCATCCTGGCACTAACTTGCACACTTTAATGCACATGCTGATTATTTAGCCAACTGACTGGGATAGCAAGACAAGTACTGAACAGCCTTCATCACACATACCACTAGCATTTTCATCTGAAATCTTCATGATTCTGAACACATACTCTTCCACTTCTTTAGCTTTCAAATGAAATTATCTTTACAAGCAAGCTAGCTAGTGATGTAGAACCATTTTATGTCTATGATGAATCTAATAAAAGTGTTAACATTAAAAACAGATTTTATTAATGCATCATTAGTAACAATCAGCTAGACTTGTTGCAGTAATGTAATTCAAAATTATCTAACTGTGCGTGACAGTAACTATTCCTACAAAGCACAGCCTTTCTAACCCCTTGCCAAGGATATTTAATTTGATGTCCAAGTTTTCTTGCCTGTGGGAAAACCATTTTCCATTTTAACTGCTAGAAAAAAGTATAAGTGAATTTGCTGTAAGTAACTAGCTACTTTGAACTTTTGGGTCCCATTATGTGCACAAGTTATCTGCTCTGAAAAGGCATCATATAAACATGCCAAATTATTCAACCTTATGAAAAATGCTTTTCATCTGAATTATAAGTTAAAACTTCTGAGTTTAGAGAAACTGGAACTTGAAAGATAAAAACTTACAGCTTGATTTTTCTTTGCCCAGAGCATATGTTATATAAACAAAAATCTCCAAAAGGTGCCAAGAATTGTCCCTCTGTTTTTCTAAATGATCATGTGTGCAGTCTAGCTGAAAAGACTCATCGATTATGTCTACATAAACAACAAAAGCCGTTAGAAAAAATATCTAGATCAAAAGCCTGTCAAACACTGAACAGGAAAGAGAAATCCTGCTTTAAACATGGCCTCTTTCAAGTTGGAATTCAATCCCATGAAGTAAAAACAAAGGATTTCATAATGAAAGGTATTTAAATTACTTTATTTTTGGAACTTAACCAGGGATTCTTTTTTTCTATATGCTAACCTTTGTCTTTCTTACATTGGGACAGAATTCTGCATAATAGTCCCTATGGTTTAAAAAAATGTAGAAATTGTTCAGTCACAGTTTACTGCATTCATGATACACATTTCCCATTATTTCCATAAAACAAGACAGTGATATTTTTACTGATATTATGGGTTTCTCCTTTTGTCAACCGCCCAACAACATACACTATTACTATGGGAATGCAGCAAAGTTATTGATGGATGTGATGAATATATTTTCCTTTTCCTCACTTTCCTTAAGTACAGACATGCAATTACAAAGGGAATTGCATATCCTTGCAAAAACAAACAAACAAAAAAAGAACAACAAAAAACCAAAAAAACTCACTATATTTCCAGAAAATATATTCTGGAAAGTGTAGTCAGAAATAATAAAATAAGCTAAAGTAAAAAAAGTTAGGTACTTCTAAAATTATGGTTTCTAAAATAAAATACACAAATTTAACAGATATATGATAATATAATAATGGAATGGTTTGGGTTGGAAGGCACATTAAAGATCACCTAGTTCAACCCCCCCTGCCATGAACAGGGATACCTTCCTCAAGACCAGGGTGTTCAGAGCTCCATCCAGCCTGGCACTGAACACTTTCAGGGATAATCCTCATGTTTGATTTCCTACTCTGTTAATAAGGTTAATATGCAAACATATGGCACGATTACAGTATGTCAATAGTGATATCTTTCAGAAAAATTTTTGATTTCAATTTCCCCTTTCTATACATAAAAATAATAATATGAACCTAATGCAAAACACTTCTACATGTCCAATCATACCATTGCTGTAGTAATTATATGCAATATACATAATCAGAATCCAGTTTTAAATCTGTTCCTACCTACTGTTACCGGAGACAACATCAGGTTGTTGTCAGGTTTGGCTAGTAGACAACTGTCTTAGAAAACATCAGATCACATTTGATGATTCAAAATATTGGGTGTGTTCAATTTATTCCCTGTAATTGAAAGTCCTGTAGCATGGATCAGCACACAGTAGAGCACATGAAAAGCACGGTCTGGTCCCCTCCAACCCAAAGCAGTCTTTGGCTCTACAGGTACTCCACTTACAATGTCTGCATAGAGAGTCACCTTGGATCCCTTAATCAGGAAGAGAGAAATGCACATCTCACCAGTCTCTCAAACATAAAGCCCATTCAGTTAATGTCTATAAATCTCCAACACATCTCTAGGCTAATGAATTAATGAATCAGCACTAGAAACTGAATTTTCCCATAACTTGCCCATTCAGGAGACAACAGGTCTGCCTTCAATTATAAAATGCAATATCAAAGCAGATGGAGCAGCTAAATGTTTAAATTATGTTGGTATACTCATCAGGGCATTTTAATGCTGATGCACTGAAATCTGATTTGTATTAAAAAGGGAATTGGTCAATGCAGAGTAATATTTCAAGAGCTGCTCTGATATCCCATCAATCATAAACAAAAGTTATCCATATTTCTTATAATCTTGTCAAAAAAGGTATAGTAAATCATAGTCTATTAATTTTTAAAGTGTTTTCCTTTTAATACTTAGGATGCAGTTGGTTCTGGATATTTCTAATATTTTCTCTTGCAGTGCTATCCATTAATCACATCCAAATATTTCATATGGATTTGCAGTATCTGGAAAAACTTTAACTACTTTTGCTATGCTTATTTCATGTTTTTGATGCATACAAAAGAATTATCTCTTTGGAAGGAAGTTAATGAAACAGATCCAGCTTCAATAATTTTTCAAGGAACAAAGACTATAAATTTGTTTTCTACTGGAATGTTGAACTTAGAAGATCACACACTCAAGCCAATAGCATTTGTCTTTGCTGTCATGCAAGAGAGTGAGTCACCTACAATACAAGGGAATAATTTTGCAAATCTGTTAGAACTGTGTGGCATCTGATTAAACTAATCCATGTCTTTCTATGATGCCAAAATAAACAGTCCCTTTCCCACAATGTATAAACATTGTTCCCATAACTTTCCTTTGAAATGTCATGAAAAGGTTAAGTGACGTTTCATTATTTACCTTGACTAATGAATCGCTCCATGTTGTCTTTGAAGGGCTGTAGGTGCTCTTCTAGTGATAGCTGATAAACTTTTGCTGCTTCTGTCTCACATGCTGAAATTGAAGTAACAGATTAGTTTAGGATGACACATCATAGCATGGATGACACTTTAATTCACATCCAATGAAACTGCTGGAATCTGTGCCTCAAACACACTACAAGTAAAAACACTATGATAACAGAATCAGGAACAGTTTTGTTCCTGGCCAAATAGATTTATATGCAGAGAATTTGTGGCCAATGTGAGAGTTTAAATGAGTGGTAGAAAAAATTAACAGAAGTATTCAATTATTTTGAGGGAGAAAGACAAATTGAAAGGGCAGTACTGTATGGAAACAAAATTAAAACTCATATTCCAGGCTCTGGATAAAATGGCTCTGGATAATAGTGCCAGAATCAATATAAGGTTTAGATGCAAAATCTGCACCAAACAGTAGGAATAACCTTAATTCAGTGAGTTAAGCCAGATGAGGGCTTGATACTTGATAAAACCACAGAGAAGAGAAGCGCTTTGCATTGTTCAAACGTAGTAGTGCAAAAGAATTCAAGTGAAGATTGTAAGGGTACAATTCTCATGGCCTGAACTCCATCAGAGACCTTGAAGAAGAACAGTTTGGTTCTTATTGCACTAGAGACCGAGAGAGAGAAACTAGAGCCTAAAGAAGCCCTGACACAAAGATCATTCATGGGTAATGTGGTACCATCATACTTCCACCAATAAGCCAAGCTAATTTAATGTGGGTCAAGAGAATACCTGAGGCTATTATTTTAGGTGAATATTAAACTCCAATTTCCACTAAAATTAAAACCTCTTTAGACTGTGATAAGCTCATACCATTCAACAGAAATGAATCGTGCTTGATTATGCCTCAATATTTCCATTTCAGGTGCATACATTACAAAACATGTGTTTTCTTGCTTACTCTCCAGGTTTTCTTTAAACAAAAACAAGTTATTAGTATGCCTTTAAAGACAGAATATTTGTTAAACATCTAAAAAAATACTTTGAGGTGGCATAAAGCACTATCCTAATATTTAAAATGCACATATACAGAAAAACAGACTAACTCAAATAACTGGTAACTCCACACATGTGAAGTAAAACCAAAGTGATAATAACAATTTAATTTTAATTACTGTTTTTTAAGCTTAGAGCAAAATAGGAATAATAACAGCAGATTTTTAAGGGAAAGATAAACATGCATAGGTCTACTCAGACAGGTAAACCTGCTTATAAAGCAATATTAAATTTTTTGTAAAAATCTAACCCCCCTCTCCCCAAATATATTTGTATAATATATAATTACGTATTTGGAAGCCTGTAATTTTTAAACAAATGTTAGTCATCACATGTGAAATAGTGGAGGGGATCCAAATGACCATGAATTTTCTTACAACGTATGACAAGAGAAAAGATAGGGAAGCTATGTACTATTCTGAAAAGGGATATGCTCTGATGGTGTAATAGAGAAATTCATTACTCTTTTCTCTCATGCAAAGATAAGTGGCAGAACTGAAAGGGGTGATAGAACCTACCATAACATTTAGTAACACTGAAATTCCAACCTTTTTCGATAATACCGATTAAGTATTTTTCACAGCAGTACAACATTATACTCTCTTGACTGTCTGTAGCTTTTATGAGCTCCTAATCTCTCAGCCAATTTTAGTATATTATGAAGACTTGTACCCACCAAAAATCCTAGCCTATACCCATGTCAAGAGCTTGAAGCAACCCCATTTCAAAATGTACAAGGAAATGTGGGATATTCCCTGTTTTATATTCATCTTGTTATGGGAAAAAAGAACATGTAATATTCACAGTCAGAATGAAATGCCTCTTTAACCATTCAGATACCGGACACTGTCCCATGGTTGATTTGTTTGTACACATATGTGTGGTGTGGGAAAGGATGTGCAGTTGATGATAGATTTGTTTCTCCAGTTTTTGGTGTAATTTTTGTAATCTTCTGCCCACACCCTCTCCCTCTGTGAAAAGATTAAAATCAATGATGTTCAGAAGAATAACAGTTCATGGCCATTTTTTACCCCAGTCCTGAACTGCAAACAGGTTATTATTTTACATTGCTGTGTAAATAGTTTAAAATAAAAAAAAAACAAACAAACAAACAAAAAAAAAACCCAAAAARAAACAGAGGGAGAAAAATCCCTTTCTCTTGCTTTATAGAAAATAAACTATTGTACATAGCTTTCAGACTTTAAACATTAACAAATTTTGTCATTATTACCATATTAATTATTATTATTATTATCCTTAAAATGAACTAGTTCATCAGATGCTTTCTTCATTAAAGTATTAACAGGCCTGTAAGCTCTTCCTGAGTTTCTCAATTTTCCAGGTCACCAAGACTGTAACTGTAGTCTCCCTGTACAACCTGTTGGATATAACACTCATTTATCATTTTCTGCAATTTGTCACCAGAATATAAACCACCACTATTTGTATGCTATTGCTATTCCTCACTGTAACTGAAGAAGTCAAGGTGCTGATCAAATGAAAGTAATACAAAATACCAGATAGTCCCTAGTATTTCTGCCCAAATGAACAAATAAGATACTGAACAAATGCTTGTGTCAGAAGGGATTTAATAACTTCAAAGCAACATGGAGACAAAACATGGAAAAAACCAAAAAGTATGTGAGAATAAAAACAGCCTTCTAAATTTGATTTTTTTCAGCCTCAGTTTCATACACTAACACATATATCTCCATGAAACAGCTCAGCTAAACATCCCAGTTATCAAAGAAATACATTGGCAAAAGGGATCTGCTGTGATGACTTTGTAAAAGTTTTGTCTAAAACAAAAGGTTGTCTGATCTTTCTTAACAGACTCAAAACATGGTCTTATCTTCCCTATTCTCACAAGTTTAGTCATTCTCTCATTTTAGGAGATGTGAATACAACTGAAAAACTTAGACAAAGCTAGCATATTTCTAAACTCCATTTACTTGAAGCAGATCTTAAATTTTCTTATAATGAAAGAATTGAAAGATATTCAAGACACCACAAGTGAGACTCATACAGGCAGTCAGAAAAGCCAAGCACTTGGTAGAAACTTATCTCACAAGACTGAATTGCCCAAGCAGGGATAAAGTTAAAAACTCTGTGTTGCTTTGCAGCAAGGTGAAGGCTTCCGTACCCTCAAGTCCCAAAGCATGCACTTGAGACCTTCCAAAGATTTCAGATCCTAAGTGGAAGTTGGCATGGGCATAGACACCTTTTCTCCAACCCTCTAAATCAATTTTAACATAACAAGAATATCTACACAATGGAAAGGACCAATAATACATCTTTTTTCATATCCTCTCAACATCATATGCTGTAGATTTCATGATTTTTCAGAGAAGCAATCAAAATGGATTTTGTGGGGAATTCAAACTGGTAGCTTTTTAACAATCTGGAAATTGATGTAAAAAATTATGTTCAAAACCAATTCAGAGATTTAAACAATATCCAGTATCTGAAGAATTAATCTCATTCTCTATTTCTGTGTTAAAATATAATTAACTGCATTTTTTTTCAAGCTATTGTCTTCACTTGCTCATCCTATTTTTTTTTCTTTATTTCAGGTCAATATACTAAAAATATATAAAGGTTCACAAAAGCCAATATCAATTTAGAGATATCCATACAGAAAAGGACAGCGACAAAACATTCTGTGATTTGCAGTAACATTCTCTGGAAATTATTCTGATAAGTGATGTTAAATGCACTGAGTCTCATAATCAGAAATAGTTTCTTTACCTTTTTTTAAAGAGAAGAAAAAGTTTTCAACATTCAGAATATCTTTTTAATGCACATTTTCCAGCTGGTTCTGTCCAGCCTGTCCAGTTCTGTCCTAGCCCTTGGAAGTACAAATCTCTCCTAAACACAAAAGATGTGTTTTTGAACAAAAAGGGTGAGCAGATGACCAGCTGCTCTTCAGGCTTATTGCATTGTCTTTGTTCAGGATAACAATGCACAGCAAGATTCTTTTCAAGTGCCCCAAATATAAAAACTAAATGAAAAATAAAACCAAMCAAACAAAACCCCTAAACCTAATAATAAAAAAAAAACCCAACCCATCAAAAACAATGGAAAAGAAACAAAGCAGACTTATGAATTATCCTGGATGAGTAATTACCAGCTTCATTAGGCTGATTTTGTTAACTAATTCAGAAACCACATAGTTATCTATAGAAGTCTGATAGAGGTCAGGTGGATTTTTAAGATATTTAAGAGCACACCTTTAACAGAGACTTGATAGACTATTTGCTTTTAAGCCTTTATGGAAGCTTTGAAATTATGCCCTTAATTTTATGAGGAGCCGTGCCTGTGTCCTACTTTTCTGAAAACTCTATGACAATATAATCACAGTTCTCCGAACTTCCTTGGTGCTTTCTGGATTATTTACAATTGCAACCTGTGACTTAAAAAGAAAGCTTAGACTTCATCTAAAGGAAACAATGCTGGCCTCATCAAAAGACAAGCTCTGATGAACCCAGCCACAAATACAGAAAGGGCTCCTAATTTTCTTTTATTTATTTTTTTTTGGAATTGTAATGACTTACACTAAGAACTGCTGAGTCTTCAAGGGCTTCCATAGAAAGCTCCTTGTTTGGAGTTTTAAGAACAGTAAAATATGACTCACAGATTGACTGAAAGCCTGGTTTTAGCTTACATCTGGTTTAGGTTTAGGAGTCTGCATGCTGCATAGTTGCAGTAATTAACCCTTTCAGCGATAACTGAACAAACAGTTAGAATGTGTGAAAGTGCAGCTGCCAATGAGTAGGCAAAAGTAAAGATTTAATGTGGTTAAAACAATACCTGTTTCTGTAAAGTTTGTTAGTACAGATAACTGGAGTACTGACCCAAACCACTGCTGTTGTTTATTATTTTGCTGTTAATTACCTTGAGTGATTTGACATTTTATTATAAAAGAATGAAGGCATCTTTTCACCAGAATGTGGATCTATGGATCATATAAGAAAAAGATCTATTTCTTAATTATCTTCATTCACATTTATATCAAACATATTGACAGAGAATAAC